AACAAAATTTGAAGTAAAAATGATACTAAATTGATATTTTTTTATAATATTTTATTAAAATAATAAAGTTATAAAATGTTTTTTCACTTAATTTTTTTTTATAAATTTAAGGGAAATGATTTTTCGTACAACTTTTTTGTATAACTTGTTGTGTCATTTAAATAATTGATTTTTTTTAATTTGTATGAGACTCATGATATTGATTGTATTTACTTATTTAATGATACGTAAAAGTTGTATAAAAAAATGATATAAAAATATTGTCCCTATAACATCACCATAAATTTAATTACTAAACAGTGATATTTTATTTAAATACCCTTAACAAATGTTCAAACATTATAAATTTCCTTACCAGCCAAGAATATAGAACTGGTATAATCGAAGTTTACATCAAATTTTTGTGAAAAATCTTGCATTTTCCCGCTACTCTTGAACAGAAACGGAATCATTTAATGAAATAATTTTTAGAATTTAATGATAAGCTAATAAAGGAAAAGATGAAAGAAATCCATCAGATACAAAATGAATGAATTATGATCACTTGTCGAGCTAATTTCAACCCACATCTCCAATTCAGTGATGTGATTAGTAGTTTTAACCCCATAAACTAATTAAACTAGGCATTAATACACTGATATAAGCATTCACTAAGTGCACAGAGCATGTAGGCTTCAGGAGCCATCTAAACAAAACAGGTTCTGGTGCAGGGCATCAATCATTTGTGAAATATTAACCAAAATATAAATAAAAACTACTTCTGTTCAGAGCTACAATTAATGTTCTGAAATCCTATTGTCGAGAAATTGGGACTGCTGGCATGGATGACTGCTGGCTGTAGAAACCTTCAGAAACTTGGAAACTCTCATAAGAATTTGTTTGTGAGGCAGTATAGGAAGAAATGCCCGTTGCAGGATCCCCAACAGCTGGGAAACCAGGCAAGGAGGGTAGCTGCTGTTGTGTCATATTAAAGCTGTATGATACACCGTTTACTAATCCTGCAGTTGGTACATATGGGGGCCCTGGGTACGGCATCATAGGTGGTAATGGAGGCAGTGGTGGCGGAGAAGAAGATGGAGGCGGTGGCACCTCATTTGGAGTTAATTGTTGGCTGGTAGTTGTAACACTAGGTTGCTGAGAATCAGGATGTGGAAATGAATGAACTGAAGGTTGTTGGTGATTCTGGGATGGCATGTAAGGCTGGTCACTGTCAAGCTTATGCCTCTTTTCAGAAGGAAAATCACTAGAGGGTTCTTTCATAGAATTTCCAATGACACCCTCTGATGCCAGTGAGGAGAGCACATAAGAGAGCATCTGGGCTGATGATGTTGAAGCAGTTAGTTTTGCTGCCACTGCAGCAGCTGCAGATTTCCGAGGATCTTCTTCAATGGGACCAGAGTACATAACAGAAGCTGATTGCTCCTTATCTACTGGGACAAAGCTTTGAGGTGCCATCGATGTGTGTGTTTCCTTTGAGCTTTGCTCAGGCACTGACAGGTGATCGTCACTATTTAGTAACCGTCTGCAGATGTTATCAACCAATTCTGATTGGGAAAGAGCAGCCTGGAAAACAACCCGCACATTCTCAGCTTAGATGTAAGCAATAGCCAATAAGACTGCACTAACAAGACTTAATGGATATTCTCATTGCTCTGCCACTTAGCAGATCATGGGGGACATGTATATCCAAGTCTAAAATGCATAATGCAGTTTGGCAACAGAGCAGGGATGAAAACCATGATGTGATAAATCTTGTAAATTATTCACATAACTTGAGACAGCTGCTTATAATTAGGGGTAAATCATGCCTGCGTGGATAGTTTTAGCACTTGTATCAAGTGAATTCTAGTTAGGTAGATGAAAGCACCACACCTTAAGTTGGATCCGGACTTGTTCCAGCTTGAACTCCTGATGAAAAGCACAGGTCAATTTCACATGTAAACATAACCATAAAAAGTACTTCTGTACCTAGGATAGTCCATTCTAACCAACCTCTTCCTGGAGTGCCTCTCTAAGATGCACCACGAGGCTAGCTCTTGAAGATTCAAGTGCTGTTAGTTGTCCAATACAGTCTCTTATTATAGCATGCTGTCCCTGCACCTCCTCTATAAGCTCAGATCCATGGAATTGCCCTGTTTATAGAAAAACAGGAAAAGAAATTATTTGGAATTGAGGATAACAGCACAAAACTTCTACATATAGAATCCAAACACATATGACAACAATTATGATGTCTCTATTCTTATTTTATTGCCAAGCCCTAGTTGTTGAAATTTATGTATGAAGTTCATCACTGATCCTCTACATAACTTAAGTCTATGAGGCTGAAGAAAGTTACGAGATAAGTAAACCACACATTCTTCTAAATAAAGATTAATCAATAATCATGACTAAAAGATATAACAAATAACTCTCTACTCTCCTATGCCCAGCAGCTACAGACACCTTCAACAAAGCCATTTAAATCCAATCAAAGTACCCAAATACAATCTTAAGTAACATGCCATAGATTAGAATGAATTAACATAAAATTAGAACTTTGATTCATGACATATTCATTACACAAAAATCACGCTTGATTGTTCTCCAATCCCTACATGAACCTAGCTAGAAATAACAAGTTAATATAGAATGGAAAAAATATATATAAATAAATATATATATATATATATAAACAGGAAATCTTAATAAATTCAACTGCATATATAACAACTTTTGATATGATAATAAAAACCCCAATAACATAATTTGCAATCTTAATACCTGAATTGACATCAGAACCAATTTCCTTATTTACTTTCTCAAGACAGCTGATAGCATTCCTACATTTGCTTAATACAATATCTTCGTCCACCTGGCCACCATAAACAACTTGATAACCTGAAAATATTTTGTCCACTCTATTCCCAACAGGTGGCTTCTGTTACGAGGATTACGCATGAGAAAAACATTAGTCCTTGAACTATTTACAAAAATATAAACTATAAGATACACAAACAGCATAAATTTCAAGTTACCAGCTTCAAGCCAATGTGCTTTCCATTTCTATTGCTATTATCTGACTGCCTTCCGACAATCTCTTCCTTGAGTATTTGCCCCCGTGAACCAAAAACTTTCCTATCTTCCCAAATTCCTATCTGCACGCATGACAACAAAGATGCATCAAAAGCAACACTACACAAAACTTTACAATATAAATTGATGAAGAGTGTAACATCAATAAAAATATTAAAGGGTGCGAATATGTCAATAAATCAGAAGCAAAATAATTTAAAAACAAAAATAAGATATAAAAGCAATGCTATCACCATAAAGCCAAACCTAACATATCACAAATACACAGATCATGTCAAGATATAAAAGCAATGCTATCATAGTATCATCAAAAGGCCAAAGCTAGAATGTTAGCAAACACAAATTAACAATTGGAAGCACCTGAACTTCCTTTCTTTATATTAGACAGTCTGAGAAAAAAACTGAGGCGACATGACAAAACTAGAAACTTTGAAACTCAAAGGAAACACAGAACAGACCCATATAGTTAGTGCTACAGTAAAGAAAAAAGGGTAACATCTGCCAATGGCAATTACAATAAATCCCATAGTAAGCAGGTTTAGGTCTAAATTCCCTATTAAATTAAACAGCCAGGTAGATTTGTTCTATTTTGTATTTTATTTTTTTATTTTTTCCGATTCAAAAATGATGCCTTCCCAAATCAGATAAACGGGTGACCAAGGGGATGATATGAAACCCCTCCTTAGTCCTTTCCATATAACAACTTAACACCAAAATCTAAATGCTTAAAAAGTTATAAGATAATTTGCATGACATACCAATCGCATAGCAGAATTCCGTCCAAATTCATCCCCATTATTAATTACATCACGAAGAGCATCTGGAAGGACCTTCCAAAATTCACCAACAAACTCTGAGCCTTTCCTTCTGCTATTCTGCAAAATATCATTCGCAAGATAGAGAAAGGCCAATCTCTGTTCACGTGGTGCACAATGAAATTGTCTGGCCCAAGTTTCAACAACTTGTTTTGCTTTATTCATGTGGAAAATACACCAGTGTGACAGGGCTAAAATATGATTAAGGATCAGAAACAGAAACCCAAACTAGAAAATATTGGCAACAGCTATGAGGTGTTTATGGAATGAAATTCAAGCGCATTCAAACTATAAATTCTGAAAATTATTCTGAACTAACAAGGAAACTTTTGCTTCTAAACATCTAATAGAAGAGACAAGTAGATCAAATATCCAACTATCATGGTTTCATCCAAGAGATGCTTCCAAGTAGACTTCAACATCTAGACCCTAATAAACCTAAACGGAAACAAAATTATGTTTTGGGAAATAATGAAAAACGCAGATGCTAATTTAATATTTACAAAAAATAACTTTGACAAAAAGACAGATGATCCTGCAGAAGGTGAAAAGACCTAAATAGCTGTCTTAAACACGGGGCACGAGCATATTGTGAAACATAAAACTCAATTATTTCAAGTTAATTTATGAAAGGATACTCTCTATGCTCGCCTGTGAACTATTGAGCTTAGCAAGCTTGTCCACTAAAATCTGTGGATTAAATGAACTACCCATTTCTTCTGGTGAGAGTTGGCACAATGCAGACTTTCAAAACTGAAGAAACCTTCAGAGAAGAACAACAATTAGAGCGGAGCGGATCCACAGAGAATTTAAACAAGGGCAATTGGAATAAAAGTGAGTTGTTGCCCTAATATCTAAAAGGGAAACTTCACATTCTCAATTAGACTGAAAACAATCACAAATTCAGACATTACAGAGCACATTACTGAATAATATTGAGTTTGAGCACTCTGGTCTCACCCTAGTTGTTCTCTATACTATAACCTACTCATCCATCCTATTTTTGGCTCTTACATATCTGTATACAGACATCAACCTCACAAAACAAAAAGAATAAAAATTTAAACTTTAACCAACTTCTCTTTCTTTATCTAATGAAGAATAGGATTTGCTTTTACAATCTAGAAATAATTATTCAATTAATCAATTAAGGTGTTCTAATCTAACTATCTGAGTCTAAGAATTATTTAAATTACCTGCCATGTAGATTAAATAAATGCAACAAGATTAACAAATAGAAAAAAAAAAAAAAACTAGCATTAAACTTAATTAATATTAAGACAAAATTTTATGAAACAAAGCACAATTAAAACCCTAAAGCAGAACCATAGCTGAAAACCCAACACACACCAGGAAAAAAAAAAAAAAAAGAGTAATGGATTAGAGATGGAAAGAAAAGAGGGAGAGAAAAAAGAGCTAACTTTCGAGAAGGGAATGCAGGTGACGAAAGCAATAATCAAGGGCAGGCGAAGGTATACAGTCGGGTTTCTTTTTCCATGGAAGATTTGGAAGGAATTAGTGAGCCTTTTTAAGGTAGGGTTTTTTTTTTTTTTTTTTTTGAAGGTGCAGGCGGTGGGGGGAGGGGGGTAAGGGTTGGTTTCTATTGTATCTGTGTGTATGGCGTTGCGTCTAACTGTACGAATTGTAACCCCTTTTTGGAGAAGATGAGTACCGTACGATAGGGGTGGGGGGCGTGGGCAAAACCCTAGTTTAAGCCCCTTATCTTGTTAAGTTTGAATATTTTAGCCCCTCACTTTATATTATGACATTTTTAACCCTTCACCTTATTAGATTTGTAAGTTTTAATCACTTATTTTATATTAAAACACTTTTAACTTCTCACTTATTAAAATTTAAGAGAATAACCTTCAATTTGTAATATTTTGTTAATTCTATTAGTTGACTGTTAACTTTATTAACTGACTATTAGTTGATTGTTAGTTATCAAAAACTTTCTTTCAATTATAAAGTTAACAGAACTAATTTTATAATATTTCATTAATTTTGTTAATTGACTATTAATTGACTATTAATTGGTAAAAATCTACTTTTAGTTAACAGAATTAACAATCAGTCTAAACTGATGGCTATTTTCTTCAATTTTAATAATTAAGGGGTTAAAATTTACAAATTTAATAAGATAAAAGACTAAAAATAGCATAATATAAGGTATGAGGCTAAAACCTTCAAATTTTGTAAGGTGAGGGACTAAAAGTGGGTTTTTACCCGGAGGGGCGTGGGAGCATGTGTCTAACTGTACATCTACATTGCGGTGTAAAACGTGAATGTGTTTTTCTATTGAATACCAATATTACCCCACCGTTACGGAAGATATTTCCTCTATGCCGCGTACTGACGTGCGCAGGCTGACTAATCAGAATCCGAAAGTTAATCATATAAAATATGGATGAGAAGCATCCATAATATTTTATCGGTAAAATTGCTAATTATTTATTATTTATTTTTAATAATTAAAATTTATCATAATTTTAAATAAAAAATTATTTTTAATAAATAGAAATAAATCTTAATTATTAAAATTAAAAAATAA